TTGAAAAAGCTTCAGCTGATATTGAGGCTACTAAACTATTTGCAGATGAATTCATTGAACTCATTAATAGCAAAATGTTATCTCTAGAACAAATTTACAATGCTGATGAAACTGGTCTTTTCTGGCAATATGTACAGTGAAATACCTTGGCAACCTCTACATAAAAGACTCCAACTGGTGTCAAAGATTCCAAAGCTAGACTAACAATTTTAGCAGACGCACATGCTTCAGGAACGCACAAGCATAAATTTTTTGTAGTTGGAAAAAATACACGACCTCATGCATTTAAAGGAGTGAAGATTTTCCCATTATATATCATGCAAATAAAAAGGCACGAATGACACAAGCGTTAACGTACGATTGGTTTGAAAATCATTTCATACCCGAGGCTTGGCAAAATTTGATTTGGTTGGTTTACTTGATGATATAAAAATTGTCCTGATTGTAGATAACTGTTCAGCTCATGTTTCACTTAAAGTTTTAATGAAAGGTAATGTATCCGTGTTATTCTTTCCTCCAAATAGTATGTTCATCATTCAGCATGTGGATATCGAAACAGTGCATGCGCACTGAATTGCAAATATAAAGTCACATTTTTAAAATCTATTTAAATTTCTTGAATAATGGCAAGACTATTCAATAATTTTTGAAATATTTTACCATAAAATCCACTGTATGGAGTATTGCAAGATTGTGGGAGAATGTGTCCCCAGATACTTTAAAAAATGCTTGGCATAATTTATGGCCACCTACCATATATTTCATGGTGAGGATGATGAAGATGATAGCCACGAATTTGAAGGCTTTCGGATATTGCAAACCACAGGTGAAATTTTCCAATTAATGGATTTTGTAAAGACGTGTGGAGAAACGGTAATAAATGAAGATGATATAAGAGAAGTTTTTCATTGCGATGACAATGCCCCAATCATCAATCAATTAATGGATGGTGAAATTTGTAGTATGGTCCTAGATCGAGAAAACACAATACTGCTACCGGTAGTAAAGGAAGTGATAGAGAGGTTACTGAAAACAAAAAAATTTCAATTGACAAGTTAGTCGGAATTCTCAACACAGCAACTACAGGACTTGAATAGTAGAACTTTGTAACTGAACAAGAGATTATGTCTGTCTATAGAATTAAAGAAGAAGTATTAGCACAAAAAATGAAGCAACTTAAACAATTTACATTAAAAAAATGTTTAATAAAGTAAACAAATAAATATCAAACTTTTTTTTTGTAAATTGTGATTCCCTTTAGATCATAAATGCTTCCCTATTTCATAAATCACGATTTCATATTTTAAATTTTATAATTTCTACATGCCATCTTACTAGATTTAAACTGATGATCTAATATCTGAAAAAAATCCCAAATCTGGAAACGCCGAAGTCCCGACGAGTCTGGATCTCAGGCTTTGTACAGTAATCAACTTCTTATAACTTTATATACACTAGGCTATTTTAATTTTCCTGTTACTTATGATGAAAAATACTTAAACCAAATTTGGAGGTATTTACGAGATGCAAAACAATTGTAAGTACATAAATAATTCCTTTATCTATGCTATTCGCAAATGGCCATTTTTATTTTAATCCTATTATGTCAAATAGGTGATGACTTTCACAGTTACCTTTTTTACTTTTCAAAATTTTTTCTACTCCTCATTACCCATACATTACATGCCTTAAAATTCCTTTTTATATACACTTAAAATTGATTTAAGCAATTTTTTTACATATATGAATTAAAGTAATTTTATTAATTTTAACAATTTAAAAAAATTAAGTTAAAAATTTCTTTCCTGAACTTGCACACTATATTATAAAGTCAATTTTTAAACATTTCATTTTTCTGTAGTTAAATTTAAAAATGTAATTAATTCCAATTAAATTTCAAATTTTTAACACTATGCTTACAGTCACCAACATTTTATTTTTTTAATTTTACAGGCTATCTCTTCACAATTCAACACAAATCTACACTGCTAAAACACATTCTTTAAAGCCCATAGAGAATCACCATTTTTGTTTATTTATTTTATTTTATATTCAAATAACTTTAATTTTTAGTTTTTGTAATTTTAGGCATATTGCCTTTTCCCCCTCATTTAAAGCTATAAGCCTTCCATATTTTGTATGCCCCCCCTCAATTTGAAAACGTTTAGTAGATTTCTTACAAAAAAAATTGTTTCCTCAAAAATTTTGACTTGAAATGCATTTACTTTTTATTTGCAATAGTTGCTCTTGATTTGCAAAGTATGCTTATAGTTTTGAATTTTCCTTGGTTCAAAATTTATTTAAATACTTAAATAGTATGTTGCTTTTAAATTATCCAATGGTTTTTTACTTTGAGAATGTTTTACTATACCATTTGTTTTCGTATAATTTGTTTTAACCTTAAAACAAAAAATATAGTAAAAATAAGCCTAGTTAAGGCAGAGCAAGTTATATTTTGACGATATATTTAAATTAAAATTGATATTTTATTGAACTTTTAGCAAATTTTGATTAAGAATTTTAATCAAATCAATTTTTAATTTGGCACCTTCTTTGAAATAATTTCATTTTAATTGTTATAATTATCCAAATGTAATTAAGAAACATAGCTCGGTTGGTAATTCTTTGTCTGCTCCTTGAAAAAGACCAAAGAATTTTCAACAATTTGATATTACTTTTATTATGTTACTTTATTGAATTCTGTTTCAGTTTTGATGTATGTACTTCTTGTTAGATTGTTGAGCCCATTTTTTGATTTAATTATTATTTTTGACTACATGTATGTATGTACATAAAATAACAACTCTAGCACTTAAGCAGCTTAGATTTGAAATTTATTAATTTTACAAAATAAAAAAAATAAAAATGTTTTGCTAGATTATACTACCCTGGAAGGTGAAATATATGTATGTAATAAAAAAGGACTTAACAATATTAATGGTGAAGAGTAGAAGGTTGAATCCATAATGAATAGCAAGAATTTTGATGGCATAGAATGCCGATCCACAATGAATAGGATAATGGCAGCAGAGGCAGATTAAATCTTCATTTTATTTCAACAAACATGTTATGGCCACAAACGACTTGGCACATTATTTATGCTTATTTCAAAATGTTAACAGTTTTGATAACTTTGCAGTAAGAAGGAAGCAGTAGACAACAGTCCAGATAGGCTGAAGAATAGCAAGCGAGTGCACTATGTTCAGGATGAAATCTTAATTCAGCCTGAGTTAGTTTTGGTTCTCAATGCATTTTGATTGGAAAATTAATTCTACTATAAAATTATTATTGACTGTTTTAGTTCCATTTAGATCATCAGAATTATATAAGAATCATACAACATGGATTAGTCTCAAAATGACACAGTGCAAAGAATTTTTAGAGTAGAGAAGGGAAATTAATTTATACTCCTAATTCAAATTATAATTTATCGTTTACACATTTTTAAAGTTTTCTCACATCTTCAACATTTGTGATGAGAAAAAAAAAAAAAAAAAAAAAAAAAAAGACATAGCAAATGTTGATGCTGTAGAACATAGATCAATAAAATTATTATTGACTGTTTTAGTTCCATTTAGATCATCAGAATTATGTAATAATCATTAACATGAATTAATCTCAAAATGACACAGTGCAAAGAATTTTTAGAGTAGAGAAGGGAAATTAATTTACATTCCTAATTTAAATTATAATTTATCATTTACAATTTTTTTTTTTTTTTTTTTTTTTTTTTTTTTTTTTTTTAAGTTTTCTCACAAATTCAGCAGGTTTGGTTTAGGTTAGAAAAGTCTGAGTTCTCATAATTTTGAACCTAGGTTCTGAAACAGTTATGTCATCAGTGTTATACAAGCCATGTGATGCATTAATCTAGAAATGGCACAGTTCAGAAAGTTATTACTACTTTCAGAATACAGAGATAAAATATCCAAATTAAAAATGAATCTGGATTGTTGTTGCTGAAGTTATCAAAAATGTTATAAGTTATAAGTTATCAAAAATGTAAATATTTCAAAATGGGTAAAAATTATGTGTTAAAAGTTGTTTGTGGCCAAAACATGTTTACAGAAATAAAATGCAGATTTAATCTGCTTCAGCTACCACTTTCCTATTCATTGTGGCTCAGCATTTTAGCATTCTACACCATCAAAATTCTTGCTCTTCATTACAGATTCAAACTTTTACCTTCTATGACATCAATACTGCAAAGTCCTTTGTTATTAAACACACACACATTGAAAATTAATTACTTGAAGAAAAATATGTTTAAAGGTTTGGCATGTACTTAGTTTCAATATACATTGAGTTAGGACTTAAGCCTAATAATTCTCATATAGTAATTTTGTAAGATATAAGAATAGTATAAAACATATGAAAATAACATGGAACATTGCATGTGTGAAAAAAATAGCAGAATGTGCAATTTCATAGTTCTAGCATGATGTTAATTATATTAAGAATTAAAACATATAGAATAAAATATTTCATGAATCAAAATAGTTCTAGGGTACATTTTTGAGGAAAATAACACAAAAAAGCAGAAAGTTTTTGGAAATTTCTAACACCTTATCACCATTGATTTTAAGGTATTATAAATCCATACAGAAAAGATAATTTTTAAAAATCACCAAACATGATATTTCATAATGTTTCATTACACAAGAACTTGGATTTCATTATATATTACCTTTCTTAGCTTTATATATTATTGGGATTTCATTTTTATTTGTTGTTTATTTAAAAAGTTTATTCTAAAACATTTTCGAATGTTTTAATATAACAGCAAAGGAAGCAATATTTTGTTTTTAAATTTTACATTTAAATATTAAACCTCTGAAGTTTAGAGATTTATTCGTAAAATACACGAAAAAGAAAAATAATAATACATAATAGAAACAAATTAAACTCATAACTGCTGCAAGAAAGAATTCAAGTCAAAATAGAGAAATATGTTTATGGAATATAAATACATTATACATAATGTAATGTAAGATCATACATACCAATTTCTCTTTAAAGTTCTGATTACTTGAAAAATCATCAGTATTTTTATATGGCTTGTTTTTAGACTTATTTGATTTCACAACAGATTCAGTTATTATTGCACTATAATAAAATTTCGTATAATTAGAAAATGTCACATTCAGATGTCACTACAATGGAAAAAATTGAAAAAGTTAAAGTACAAGGGCTGATTGAAAAGTTTTAAGACTGCTTCTACTTTCTTCTGGTATTATAGACATGGTATTACTGCAGTGGTTTTCTAAAGGTTATAGATAGTACTTAGCAGAAACTTTTACTTAGATACCCATGACGTTTAAAATTTGGTTGCCTAATCCAGTGGATGGAAAGAAAAATGGAAAGACCTAATCCAGTGATTCTCAACCTTTTTTGCCCCCTGTACCCTTTCACCATTGCTAGATAATTTCTTCCCCCTTTTCCCAAACTCGAAATATGCACATAATTTTTTTTAAAATTTAGATATTTTCTTAATGGCACAGCAGGAATGAGGCTGACTGCATTACCTCTTGTAACTATGAAATTCCACACTCCCTCGTTTGAGAGCCCCTGGCGTAGTGCATTTTATCTCAAGGAACAAGGACCACATATTTAGGAAAATACCACAAAAAAGTGTAATTCAGTTTTTTTTGTTAAACATAGAAAAACTGTAATAAAGAATTGAAAATATTATGACATGCATGTGGTGGTGAAACACTTTCCTGGATTTCAGTATTTTAATCGAGTTTCGTATTTCAGACATGGTAATACAAGAGTGATAGTAAGAAGACATGTTCTGGCAGACCACAAATTTTAATTGCAGATGTCAGTATTGCCTATCTCTGAGCACAATGAATGATGACTATTATACAAATATCTTTATAAAGACAGATTAACATCAAACTGTAAGGGTAAAAAGACATGATATCTTCAAGAAACTGCAATTTTGCTCAAGGACAGAACCTGATTATATACTGCTGTTGGGGCATTCGCAACACTGTTTGAGAGGTGAAAAGTACCATAGCTGTAGTACTAAAATTTATAGTAATTGCTAAATAGTCTAATTTCTATTGACCACTGATATAATTTAAATTTCTGAACTATTCATACAAACTAATACTCATTGCTTTTAAAGATGGAAAAAACTGTAAAAGGTTATGTACATTGGCGCATTGTAGATTTAGCTATATAACATGTAAATGATCGAATTTTTAAGGGCACATTTTGTGAGTGCTTAGCTTGCACAAAAGCTTTATTGAATGCATTTTTTTCCTATTGCACGAGATTTCAGAAATTGAATTATGTCTAGAACAGCGATTCTCAAACGGTGGTACATATGAGAAAAATTGTGGTATGCAAAGAAACAAAGTATTTTTTACCTATTATATTCAAAAATTAAATACCCTAACATCCTGTTTAAGTTTTTCTCTAACACTCATAAATATATGCAATCTGAGCTTTGTCCAAACTCAATAGCCACTCATAAACTTAATAATCCGTTTTTATTTTCACAAATATTCTTTTAACCATAGATATAACAAAAGTTGTCATAAATGATGTTTTTAAAATAATAGAATAGAAAATAGAAATGGATGTTATATTTATAGGAAAAATAAATAAGTCCACATAAAACGATAACACTATCTCATCATTAATTCTTTTAGAGTTTATCGATTTATTAGTTGTATTACTTTATGTTGTTTCCGGGCTTATATTGCTCTATTTTCAATTAGAATCATTTTTTTAAGTCAATTTGTTGTCTTTAACAGCAGGTATTTTGTCTTCTACTTTGCATTCATTACATTTCTATGCGATTTGAGAATGCTGTCATTTGTTTTTAAAGAATTAATAATATAATTGTGTATTTTAATATTTGTGAAAAAATAATAAAACTTAGATTTTCAAAATGGAAAAATGGCTAGAATTGACTAAGCGAAAAGTGATGATTCATAGGTGATGGATTCAGGACAATCTACTAGCACTTAGAATTTTGAAAAGAAAAATTTTTTAATGAAAGTTATTTATCATTTGGGTTTACTTGGAATGGAGACAAAACGATCCCAGAAACTCAATGTGTTGTTTGTGGTGAACTATCAAATCAAAGTATGAAACCATCGTTTCTTAAAAGACATCTTGAATCAAAGCACGGCAGTTTAAAGGATAATTCTGAAGACTATTTTAAGAGGAAATTACCAGAGTTCAAAAACAGTAAACAAGCAATAAAAGGTTTCATTACTTCAAGTGAAAAAGCTCTGGAAGCTAGTTACCTAGTAAACCTAAGAATTGCCAAGACTGCGCAGGCTCCATACTATTGAAGAAAAATTCATATTACCAGCTGCTAAAGATATCGTTTTAACATTACTCAATGAAAAAGCACCTAATGAGCTTAATAACATTTTATCAAATGGTCCAGTAAGTCGATGAATGCAGGAAATGGCAAATACCATCAGAGCTTAAATTGTGCCGGAGCCCGGCTCTGGTACTTCTTAGTTTTTAGGATATATTCTAATTCCAGCCAGAGTGCACTGGAGCCCTAAACAAGAAGGCTCCAGCACTTTTTTATGTAACGAAACAATTATACAATTATTTTATTTCATCTAGAAAATTTTATTTTTAGCAATAAAATTATATAAAAAATTGCTTGTTAAATTTTAATTTATCTTTTTACACTTTATTTAATTACTTAAATCTTTAATTATTTTAATAAATAACAATAAATCGTGAATTAATTAACCATAATTAATAAATATTAATTATAATATCAATTAAATAATTATTAATTAATTTGATACTCATTAACTATTTAATTTTTAAATTATGAATGATTTTAATAGTCATTTTGTTTGCCCTCACAACAAATGTGTTTTTGAAAACTTTAACGGTTACGTTGAAAGGGCAAGATAGAAAGTGCCAGGCCCGTGCTATTATCGATTTAGCTTCACAAAGATCTTACACTCTAAAAAGCACTGCAGATGAAATGAAATTTGAGAGTACATTTAAAGAAAGATTGAGCCATTCATTATTTGGTGGGTCATGTACTGATGTCATAAACCACAATGTTTTTACAGGTCTTGTCTAAAATGGATGGAACTTATCATTGTAACTTCAAAGCTCTTAGCCAAGATATTATTTGTGGAAGTATACCACCAGTTGCTAAAGGCGAGTGGATTCGAGAGCTTAAAGAGAACAATATTTCCGTATGCGACGATAGTAATGGGCTTATCGGCGCTGACATTGCAGGCAAGTTGATGATCGGAGGATTTAAATTGCTTACTTCGGGCCCTGCTGCTATAGAAACTAAACTTGGCTGGACTCTTTTTTTGAGAAAAATGGCATGCGTGAGATCTCGGATAATTCCGCACTTGTCACATCTATGTTGAATAAGGAGATACTGATATCTGATCTATGGTCTCTAGATTCACTTATGATGTTTCTGGAGAAGCTTTTAGTGAATGGGAATGAGAAGGCGTCATAGAAGAAGTACCAAAAAGCGAAATTGATGTAACATGCTATTATCTACCACATCAACACGTAGTAAAAGAAAACAGTACTACACAAATCAGGTAAGTGTTTGATGTCTCGGCTAAACAGAAAGGATCACCTAGTCTCAATGATTGTCTAGAAAAAGGTCAGAACCTTATCGAACTGATTCCTTCAATTCTTCATAGATTCCGAATGAACAAATATGAGTGTCTGCAGATATACGAAAAGCATTCTTACAAATAAGTCTCAACCCTAAGGATAAAGACTATCTAAGATTCTTACGGTATAGAACTGATGGAAAACTGAAGTACTGCAAGCATTGTAAGGTGGTATTGAAGTAACAAGTAGCCCTTTCTTGCTAGTTTCTGTAATTCACCATCTTCTAGAATCCACTTTGAAACAACTGAATGGAAACCCAAAGTTTAAAGTGGATATTATTGAGCAATTGAAGAAGAGCTTTTATGTAAATAATTGTTTAGCGAGTGTGAAAAATGATTTAGAATTGCAAAATGGCTGTTGGTTGAATTCATACAAGTTGCTTCAGATACTTTAGCTACAAGAAAGCTAGAATTACGTGGCTAGGAATACAGTGACCCAACAGATAATTCCTCTAATACCACAAATGTATTAGGAATGGTTTGGGAACGATGTGGAGATTACCTTTGCCTTAATATTACTAACATCACCTACAATCTACCAGAAATTTTGTCTAAAAGAGAGATTTTAGCTACTACACACAAAATATTTGAACCTTTAGGAATAGTTTGCCCTGTGCCGAAACTTTTACTTCAGCACCTATGGAAAAGTTAAGTTATCTTGGGCCCAAGAAGTTGATTCAAATTAAAAATCACAATTTTGTTAATGGTTGAATGATTTGCAGTGTCTGGAAAGAATGAGAATACCAAGAAGGTTAAACTGTGTTCGTGAGATTGAAAGTCTCACTTCATTTCTTCAGTGATGTGAGTAAGCTTGCACATTCAGCTGTGGCTTTTGTTCGAGTACAAAGAAGAGATTCGGTTCAAGTTCATTTGGTGCATGCTAAAGCGAGAGTTGCACCCAGCGGAAGGAAAAAGACAACAATATCTCAATTGGAAATTCTTGGAGCTACAATATGCATGCGTTTAGCATCCAGCATAATACCTGAATTTCAAGCTGATGATATTTATTTTTGGACAGATTCGTCTACTGTACTAGCTTGGATACAGAGGAAATGAAGTATGGGACGTATTTGTTCACAACAGAATTAAGGAAATAAAGCGACTGACTTCTATTGAATCTTGGAGGCACGTACCAGGATCACTGAATCCTGCTGAATTTGCCCAGTAGAGGATGCTCTGCTTCTTATTTAATTAAATCTAGATGGTGGGAAGGTCCTGAAATGGCTATATTTATCACCAGAAAAATGGCCAAAGAAGATTTTAGTGCTGATGAAGATAGAAATAGCTCTTGAGAAAAAGAAAAGAATTATTTCATCCTTAATAAATCTTAATGCTAGTGAAATAGTTTCTACTAGATTCTCAAGTTATCGTAAGACAATCAGACTGGTAGCATGGATGTGTCGTTTTGTTTACAACTGTAAACATCAAAACAAGAAAAAGGATGAACTTACTGTATCTGAGTTAAAT